GTGTGAGAGAGAGAGAGAGAGAGTGTGAGAGAGAGAGAGAGTGTGAGAGAGAGAGAGAGAGTGTGTGTGTGTGTCAGAGAGAGAGAGAGAGAGTGTGTGTCAGTGTTTGTGTAAGTCTGTGTGTGTGTGTGAGAGAGAGAGTGAGTGAGTGAGTGTTAGTGTCCGTGTGTGAGTCTGTGTTAGTGTAAGTGAGTGAGTCTGTGTGTTTGTGTGAGTAAGTCTGTGTGTGTGTGTGTGTGTGTGTGAGAGAGACAGAGAGAGAGTGAGTGAGTGTGTGTGTGTGAGAGTGAGTGAGTGTGTGTTTGTGTGTGTGTCAGAGAGAGAGAGAGAGAGAGTGTGTGTCAGTGTTAGTGTGTGTGTGTCAGAGAGAGAGAGAGTGAGTGTGTGTCAGAGAGAGAGAGTGAGAGTGTGTGTCAGAGAGAGAGAGTGAGTGTGTGTCAGTGTTAGTGTGTGTCAGAGAGAGAGAGAGTGAGTGTGTCAGTGTGTGTGTGTGTGTGTGAGAGAGAGTGTGAGTGAGTCTGTGTTAGTGTAAGTGAGTGAGTCTGTGTGTTTGTGTGAGTAAGTCTGTGTGTGTGTGTGTGTGTGTGTGAGAGAGACAGAGAGAGAGAGAGAGAGAGAGAGAGAGAGAGAGAGTTTGTTTGTTTTCCGCAGAAGTTGCCTCTCTTTCCAAATGAATCCAGTTTATTGTCATTCCAGCTGTGCACAAGTGTAGAGTGAACTGTGGTTTCACTGGGTCTGCAGTGCAGGACAACAACACTGAGAACTGTGTGCTATAACCTCACTGCAAACAATAAGCACTACAAACACTGAACAGATGCCATGGATTCGTGTCATCTATCCAGTGTTTCTCAACTGGTGGGTCGCAGAGTGTACGTGTGTGTCAGAGAGAGAGTGAGTGTGTGTCAGTGTGTGTGTGTCAGAGAGAGAGAGTGAGTGTGTGTCAGTGTGTGTGTGTGTGTGTGTGTGTGTGTGTGCCAGTGTGTGTGTGTGTACCACGCTGCGTCCTCCGCGGTCGTTGTGTCTGAGCGTGAGCGTAAAGAGTCCCGCACGGTTCGCGTTCATGCTGAGCTGCAGCCGCAGCGAGTCCGAGCCCACCGACAGCGGCCGAACCGACACCCGCACCGACATCAGCACCGTACTGCAGCCCGAGCTCACAGCCATGTCTTCAGCAGGACGGTCTACACAGCTCAATGACTCACATCATCACCATCTTCACGAGCAACAAGCAACCCGACTCAAAACAGGAAGCACGTCCGTCTGATATTTACTGCCCCCTTTTTTATTACGTGAACTTGTAGTTCCGAGAAGCGGATGTGTAAAATAAAATAAAATAAAATAATTTAAACCTGAATAATAACAACTTTAATCATTTATTGGAAATCACACATTTTTTCTAAGTATTTTGGGTAATAAATCTAGAACATAGTCTTTTAATCTTAGGTTATACGTAAATATCATAGACTGTATAAAAACAGGTAAATATACAATCATCTTGACAACATGAATAGGCTGCTACTATATTAGAAAAAAAACACAAAACAAATATATGTTATTATTATTATTATTATTATTAGACTTAGCAAGCTTAAAAGTCTTTTATTTTGCCTCTCCGTACAATTGAAGAGCACGTGCTATGATCACAGTATACACAGACTTCACTTTAGTGTTTCTTCTTTCACTTTCTTGAACTGGTTTTGACTATTGAATACATATTAATTTTAGACCAGATGGAGGTGAAAGAGGAAGTTCAAGAACCGAGTGTCGTCAAGGAGAACCACTACATTGAAACTCCTGAAGATTTTAAAGTTGGAGAAGAATCTGCGGCTGAAAAATTATTTCTCCTGCCCTCAGTGTGAAAAGACCTTCACACATAAAGGAAACCTTAGGGATCACATAAAAATTCACATCGGAGAGAAGCCTTACGCGTGCCGTCTGTGTGGAAAGGGTTTAACGTGTAAAGGAAGCCTCAAGTGTCACATGAGAGTCCACACCGGAGAAAAGCCGTTCACTTGTCATCAGTGCGGAAAGAGCTTCGCTCGGAAAGTAATCCTTCAGAATCACATAAAAACTCACTCCGGAGAGAAGCCTTACACGTGCAAACAGTGCGGAAAGAGCTTCAAATGTAAAGGACACCTTAAGACTCACGTAAGAACTCACACCGGAGAGAAGCCTTACTCGGACCACGAGTGCGGCAAGAGTTCTAGGTTCTAGGACCGCAGTTTCAGGACCGCAGTTCTATCACAAAATATGATCGTGGTTTTGCGCAGCTTGTCGGTGAACAACGGCTCTGTGTAGTTAAAGGTGTAATAGGTGATTGTCTTCAGAAACATTTTTTGTTATGCTGGTTGAAAGTCTCTTCACATCCCGATAGCAATCATTAAGTTACGTGGTCTAAATGTATTCATCTGTATTTATATATTCTGTGGAAGGCGTAGGACCAAGAAATGTTCGTCCAATCAAAACGCTCGGTCCGAGCGTTTTAATAAGCTTTCCTACCTGCCTGTCAACTTATGTATCTGCATACCTCTGCGCACCCGGTTCGCGCAGACAGGACACGTCATCAGCGCGTTCACGCACGCTGTGCAGACAGAGCGGATGGCAGGCAAACATCAACAACCCGATCTTCCTTCCTGGTATTGTAGTTCTTTTAAAGTTTTCTCACCGGTGAATGACGCATGATGTAGCACAGCGATTAATCCAGTCCTCGCGCCCCCCGCTCTGCATATTTTGAATGTCTCGCTTAGATAACCCAGCTAGAAATTTTTTGTTCTAAAAATGTTCTAAGAACATTACCATGGATTGTTCTAGCAATGGTTTTGGTGGGTAGTTTTATTTGTGTTCCCAGAACGTTCTCCTATAAGGTAGGATAACATTCTCTAAAAACATTCTAAAATTGTTTAGTGACAACATTGTTAAAACAGTATTCCGTAACATTCTTAGAAACTTTTTTG